TAAACATAAAACCATGTCTGCATTTGTGATCGGAGAAATGACAAACTACAAATGCTACTCTACACTGCTCAAAACTCGTGTTTGAATCGTCAGTGGCAAATTCTTTATATATAAAAAACGTACTTAGGCTACAGTCTGTGAGTCAGAACAGCCGGCATTGTAGTCTACTCTACCACACTCTAAAAAACACTGGCTGTTTGGGTTGTTATTAACCCAAGGGCTGGGTAAATATAGGACAGAACCCATCTTGGGTTAAATTTACCCAGCATAATGGGTTGATTTAACCCAGCTAATGGGTTTATTCATTTATACTATATTACTAGCTTATTTTTTACTTCATATATTAAGTAAGGTTTACAGATTAACTTAAATCCTCTAAACTTTTCTAAAATACTCCACACAACCACTGGTTTGCATGATAACTTCCTTTATTTCCCTTTATACCCGAGCTGGAGTCCTGGTCGGCGGGGAACTGCTAACGGACCGCCGCCAGCGTTTCACTCTAGCCGAAACATGCTGTGACTCCATAACATGCCAATAAACAAACAATAAACAGCTCTGAGGACATGTTTTAACATCCAAACAAAGTATTATATTCTGTATCTTTATGAATAAAATCGTTTATTTTATGCAAAGCATCAGGCTTTTCCATCACACAAAAAGACCAACGTGACGCTCGATTAGGTGACTCACACCACGCGCCTGTGTGATGCTTTGCATAAAACTGAACGATATACAACACAGTAACGATTTTATAGATAAAATAAAATGTACACAAACCTGCATTTTACCGAAGAATGCATCAATTTGATGGCGCTTAGAACTGCTCTCGCATGAAGAGAAGACGCAAAATCTCCGCAATAAATAACTCAACCGCTGGGTTATGTCTGACCCAGGATCTGAGTAACACAAAAACTATCCAAACATTGGGTTGTTACATATCTCTTTGGATTTGAGACTTTAGTCTTTGCAACTTTACAGATCTTCTTTATGCACCAAGAGCTTGTAACACTCAAAAGAGAAAGAAAAAATTTAAATCGCATCATATGACCCCTTTACTCAAGCAAGTGGCAAAACGTAAACACAGCCTGCAGTCTACATTTCTTACGTTAAAAGGTAATTTAGTAGGCTATCACAAACATTTTAAATTAAAACTTACATTGACAGAAACAGCTGTCTCGAGCCTTTTCTTTTGCATTACATCCTTATTACAATCCCGCTGGTCATGAAGTTTTTCTAACTCCACGAGTGCCATCTATGTTGCCATAGCATAGCCTAATTATTTAAAAGTGTACTTTTTCCTTGCTTTACCCACATTGCTAAAAGCCGTGTTAACTGTAAAAAACAGTCTTTAGGCCTACTTATTTGCATTTATGGTGTAATTAATACATATCGTATCAATCCATGTTCATTTTTACCGTGAGCAATGCGCTGTCACTTTAATTCAGCGTGTGCCGCACACAACAAAAATAGACTCGGAGCGGAAACTCTTGGGAAACGTTCACTGCGATGATAAACAAGAATAAACAAATGTATTTTTGTATGTATTGTATTTATTTTTAATATCAATGCTGTTTAAGCCAATATATCACCATCCCCTGACCATTATAATGTGACAAATTCATTATAGAATACCTTATTTAATTCTGACATCATAATCCACCAAGGCCTTTTTTTTCTTTTTCTTTTTTTTTAGTTTTCCCTCTGCAAAATTAGGTGTCGGCAACAGCTAACAACGTTAATCATTGATAGCTCATTTAAAGGTAATGTCACCACCAATAAATTGGACTAATTTGGACAGTCACGCTAAACCTGGAATCGAACACCCCTGCGTGGGTCAAATCTGCGCTATCATTTTTACTTTCACTTTGAGGTTTTCGTCTTGAATATGACTGGTATCCATCTTTCCTAGTACGTGCATACCAAAACTGTTTAAATATTATAAACGCTCACATATTATATTCAAATAGATTTTTTTACAAACTAAAACAGCAGCACCGCATTCCGTTTCACGAAACACAATGTAACGAATCTGCGACTCCGAAAAGCAACATTCTTCAACACGCCATATTTGCTTCAGTGTGTGTTGATATGTGTTGGAGCAGATGTTAGCCGACATATTTTATTCCACTTTTCCCACCTTTAAAGAAATGGTTATACATTTCTAGCAGTTTATCGCTTATTTCGCGTGTCTTGCGGATATTATCAGGAATGTACTGGCGAGGGGGAAGCAAGACGGACCATAATAAGGCGACTAAGGAGCAGAGCGACAGCAGCAAGTATGCGGAGCTTCTGGTGTTCGGCTACGCCTGTAAGCTGTTCCGGGACGATCAGAGGGCCATCTACCACGACCAGGGCAAACACCTTATCCCATGGATGGGGGAAAAGAACATCATGATCGATAGGTCGGTTAAACAAACCTAATGGGAATCATTACTTAACCAACTTAATGTCTTCCAAAGGGACCTTGGATGTATTTGTTGTTTTGCAGCACAAGGAGGAGCTGATGGCAATGTGTGATGTTTACATGGCCAAACGTGAACAAAAAAAACTTGACATTGACAGATCTAAGATAACTTGCTTGGATTGTGATTATTTGTAAGCTCAATGCACTGACAAAGATGACAAATGTTTCAGCAGAAAGATCAGCCTAAGACGGTTTGCTGGTCTTAGCTGGTTTAAGCTAGTCTGCCAGCCTGACAGTGTAAAAAGTGCCCAGACCCCTCTAAAAACATCCAGGAGACCAGCAAACCAGCGTAGGCTGGTTTAAGATTTTGTTTTGTTTTGTTTTGCAGGGTTAGGGGATGTTTGAAATCCAAAGCAGAGTCCTTGCTCACTTGGCCCTTACTTATATAATTTAATATATAAATATATACAAATATGAATGACTAATTTATTGTGTTACAATAAGTGAATATGAATCTATTGTACTGGTCATGTGAGGCCTCTGCTTCTTAGCACTTCAGGAATTTGCTGTGGTCACATTTGTGTTGCATTTATTTAATTAAATGCAAACCACGGCAAATTCATGTCAGATTAACCTGCTACTGTAAATTAGTCCGTGCATTAAGGTGGTTCTCATATATGAAGTAATGTATGATTCAAATCCAATTATATGAATTCTGTCTTTGTGCATAGATCCCAAGTCTAACATTGTTATTTTGCAGGAAGTACTTTAACACATAGTCAGTTGAATATTGTGTTCCATATCTGTTTTCTCTCTTCCTCCACACTTCTTCCAGTTCAGCTGCAGTCCTGTTAAAAATGTTAAAATTGGTAACGAGCCTGGAGTGTGTTGAAACACAGCGGGTTGCATTGAGCCACCTTAATCTGCATGGGTCTGTTTTCTTGTTTCCAATGTGTATGTGTGTGTCTCTCTATCACGTAATACAGAACTTATTTCCTCAGCAATTAAGGCTAAGGGGTCCCGCCAGGCCCCGATTGCCACCTCATCGCCCACTTCTCTCTTTTACCGAAGAAACTGGAACTGAGAAGTGGAATACAGGAGCGAGCGCAGGAAAATTTCCTCCATATGGGTTCTTACGGATAGGTATTTATGTGCTCGGGCTTGTGTGGATGTACTTCTTTTACAGTATATTTAGGAATGATGATGGCAGTTGTCTCAAAAAGTTGGAATGGTTTGTTGAACCGTGTAAGGTAAGAGGAGAGTTGTTGTTTGCGTTTTTCTATTTTAATTTTTTTATTCATACTTTACTCAGGCCTGTTGCATCTTTTTATGGTTTTAGTGAAGAATTCAATGGATTTAGTAAGTTTATCATGCAAGTGCACTCATCTCTTGACCCGTATACCATCTGGAGTGCATCACATAGGCCGTCTGCTTTTTTCGCACCTCCTCGTGCAAACCTTGTAAGCAAAGTAGCATTTTGAAAGAAAAGCATATATGTGAACATAAAAACGGCTTTACTTTTAGGGTTCTTCAGTGTGGTGAGTATTTCTTGTATGTAATTCAATGTTAATTTCCTCTCGCCTTTAACCACGTGATTCGTTTTGCAGGTACGATGGCCGCGGTCATTTACACGATCTTTCGGAATATGACGCAGGCTCGTGGAATCACGATTACCAGCTGTCCGAGGAGGAGGCGAGGATAGAGGCTCTGTGTGATGAGGAGAGGTACCTGGCCATGCACACTGATCTACTGGAGGAGGAGGCCAGGCAAGGTAAATGCACATTGATCTATCAGCTCAGTCAATCTTCATGCATTATTCAAATGTGTGAAGTTCATGTCAGCTCGAGTGCAGCGCTGATTTTTACACATCTTTTAGTCCTAGTTTTTTACTTTTTTTTAGTCAGTTTTAATTTTGGCTCAAGTGGCATGTGGTTTTTGCTGGTTTAGGAGACATTTGGGTGCAACATTATTTATTGACTATGCTTTATTTGAAACAATCACTGTTTTGTATTTTTCATAATTTTCAGAACTATTTTTTTAAAAATAGTTTATATATATATATATATATATATATATATATATAGAGAGAGAAGTATGACCTTACTCAAGATCCGTCAATATGTATTTTTATGCTGTTTAAAACAAATCAACAACATTGTCAACAGTGCTTTTTAAATTTTTATTTACAAATCACTTATTTTTCGTCATGACACATTTTTCATTTTGTTTTTGTTGACAAAAAAATTTAATATCTTAAGTGCACATTGTCATTAGGCAAATACTTTACCTATTACTAAGAGATTCCGAAATCTTCTGTATATATAATTTCTTCATGATTAAGAAATATATTCTAAAAAATATAAAATTACCTAAAAAAACTGATAACATGATGGAAAGAAACTAAAAGCAAAATAGAAGCTTTTTCACTTGTGGTTTCAGACTTTTGGACTTAACACTTTTTTTTATATATATATTTTATTTGAAGGATTTTTCAAAGTAAAACACAGAACGAACAAACAACATTGTCTCAGACTGCACACACACCCACAAGGAGAAAAAATAAATAAATAAATAAAAACCCTAAACCATTTACGCGTGTATACAATACCTTAGACATAAATTATAATGCTAACAAGTAAATACAGGTTCACTAACTAGAGGTGCCATAGTAAAGAGCTGCAAAACGGAAAACTTTTCAACTGAGTTAGACCTCAGAAATCAGAGTGACTTAACCCATTTTAAGATCATAATTTTTTTTGGTTTTTACTTTTTCTATAAATTCTTGAACTATGAACATATTTTTCTGTTAACTCTTTCCCCGCCAGCGTTTTTTTTTTAAAGTTGCTAGCCACAGCCAGCATTTTTGATGATTTTCACCTAAATTTGATGGCCCTCAGAATATTTTCTGCTATGAATATATGAACATATTATATATCAAAATAAAGAACCGAGCCTCTGCTTTTAAACAAAAGAAACAATTGTACTCTATCTTCATGTGTTCATGTTTTATCACCACTTGAATGCAGATAGGTTTAATCAGAAAAACAACATTTTGGACAAAAAAACTGAGAAAAATGCATTTTTATCAAAGTAGTGCATTTTCAAGCAAAATGCATTCAGATGTCATATTCTTTCACCTAAATAATTATATGAATAATTGAAATTGCATTCAATAAACAGAACAAACAGACACAGTCATACACACACACACACACACACACACACACACATATATATATATATATATATATATATAT